TGCCACCACTCGCCCGTAAACATCATATCAATACTCTCACTCGTAATAAAAATGTACTGAGAAATGCCTCGATGATACATAACTGACTATTTCTGGAGGGTCCTGCATTTGTGTAGTGACATAGAATTAGTTATTTAGCAGCATAGTGCTGGCTGCTGGCGGACAAAGACAAATTTCCCCCGTATAGCCTTAACAGACCGTACACGAGGGGGTGGGTGGCCAGCACCACGCCCGACCGCCTTTGTCTCCCTAGTGGCGATGTTTACACACCGCACCAGGTACTCATTTGAGGCTGAGTCGACCTAGGGGAGGCCCAGGACCGGTTCAGATAATCGTCACTGGGTGTTTGCCGTGAGCGGGAATCGAACTCGGGTCGCCAGGTCCGTAGTGCAGCGCGCTAACCACTGCACCACCGCTCCCCACACATTCACACACACGCGCACGTCCACATTCGGGTTATCGCCCGTTCGTTTGGGAGCTCGTGTTGACGTGCGATTGAGGCTGCCCCCGGCTGACAAACATTACAAACGAGCGAGCCGCAAGGGGGAAGAGAGGAATGTTATCTAATCACAAATCCTTGTCGCCCATCATAACAAACAGTGAGCCAATTCACCCGCTCGGGGTGAGGGATGGAGGGAAGTTACGGGTGGGGGTGGGGAAGGTTGCGTGGCAAGAATTGAAAAAACAAATAACAATCTCTCCGATGTGTTTTCAGGTTGTACTGCGTGCTGTTTGGCATAATGTCCGACGTTTTGCTCCACTTGCTGAGAGCCTTCTGGAATTCAGTCCCGACATTTCTTCAGAAACTGAACTCGCCAAAATGCTGAGGCTTATTTCTTCCCGAACAAGGTTCCCAGCACGTGGAGCGAAACGTCGAACGTAGTGCCGAAAACAACGCACAGCCTCTGCAACACACCGGAGAAGCTGTGCAGCACGATGCAAAAACATCGACGCACTAACAAGTGCAATTATTTCACTCTAAACGAGTGAACGAAAGCCGTGTGCGTTACAAATTCAATAAGAATATCATTATTGCGAATTGCACCACCTTCACCGGTGTTGTTTTTTTGCTGGCCGCTTGGCGGCTTTTGTGTGTGTGTGTGTTTTAATACCCAGTTACGGCAACCACGTTGCGCAGTTACGCCGCTGTGAGTGTCCGCTCGACACTATACAACAACAAAAAAGCCACGGCGAGAAGAAGGCTTCCTCTCGACCCCTTTGACTTGCAAATGAGCCATCGCGACCGGAGAGACGCGGCGCCTCTCTCCCCAGTCTCATGCTAATGGCTGGAGACACAAGATCGCTTTCCTGTCGCCTTCGCTCGCCCATCACCCACGGGGAACGGGTGCGGGGAACAACCCCGAGCCACCGCGGGGGGTCCCCTACGAGTTCGCCGCCGTGCCGCCGGGCAGAGGAGGCTTCCAAACGCATCGTGTTTGCTGCACCTTCCTCGCTGCTTGCTCGTCGCATGGCCGACGTTGACGCAGAGGAACAGCTGCAACTTTACATGGTGATTCTTTCTCGCGTGCGTATGATGGCAATACGTTCCAGGGGCAGCCAATGTCACGAGGTCTGCTAAGCCACGACGAGAGGGCTGCAGGAAGGAGAGATGGTTCATACTCTTTGGTTCTTTCGGTAAAGTCACGTGGGTATAAGATAAAACTAAATAAATTAAATCACGACGTTTCGGGCGCAACACAAGCGTCCGTCATCAGGTGGGACAACCACAGCAAGAAACAATTGCTGAAGTGGGCATTTATAATAAAAGGGATCTTTTGGCCACTTCAGCAATTGTTTCTTGCTGTGGTTGGTCCACCTGATGACGGACGCTTGTGTTGCGCCCGAAACTTCGTGATTTAATTTATTTTATTTTATACCCACGTGACTTTACCGAAAGAACCAAAGAGTATGGATCCCTGCAGTCACGAAAACTTCAGATCTAGAGAGATGATTCATGTCTTGTTGCTGTTCCTGCCTCCGCGGAAGGAGCGCACGCTCCAGTGGTTTACTATATGGTGCATTCTAGATTTGAAGTTTTCGTGACTGCAATAATTCATACTCTTTGGTTTTTTCGGTAAAGTCACGTAGGTAAAAAAATAAATGAAAAAACAACTAAATTAAATCACGATGTTTCGGAGGCAACACAGACGGAAGCAGATAATTGCGTCAGGAGTCGTGGAGTGTATCGCTGTGATGCCTCCTCCTTTCGTATTTGGGAATCGGGCATAGAGTCGTTGTTATATGTCCCATTGTCTTGTCAGGATATAAATACATAAATATTAAACACATTCGTCAATAACACTCATGCCTTCAAAGGGAAAAATATATAATATCCAATGTTTCTACCAATGGTCCTTCATAGCACGTAAATTATTCACGTGCTATGAAGTGTCATTGAGCGAAATGTCGCCTATTATATATTTTTCTTTTCAAGGCCACAGTGTTGACAAAATGTAGAGTTTTTATTATTTGTACTTATGCACCACTGCTAAATCGCAGTACCACCAAACACTGCAATCCACAAATAAAATGTAATTCGTCGGACCGCTGATGAGATACCGACTGTCAAAACCAGGCCAGAGTCTAACTTGAATCGTTGCGACTAATATTGTTTGCGCACTCCCAGAAGGCCGTATTGCTGATGTGTAAAAACATGTTTTTCCAGTGGAGAGACAGGGAAGGCGGCGTGTTGTTTGCTTATTTAGTCATTCATAATTTACAACTGTGCTGTGCACTTTTCGTTCACTCTCAGAGAGAGGGAGATTACAGGAAGTGGACAAGCGGACCGGCCCCAAGCAACGCAAGGGGATCCAGATTCATCTTCTTGGTTCTTTCGGTAAAGTCACGTTGAATGGAAATAATACAACATATATAATAAAATAATTCTCACGACGTTTCGGCCACAACGCAAGCAGCCGTCCTCAGGTGAAGAGCAGGTCTGTCGAGAAGACAGAGTCTGATTCATTAAAAATGGGGCTGCATAAACTAGTAACATTCTAACCGCGAATAAACTAACAAAAAAAACTATAATTAAAAACAAAACTATCAACATAACATGAAAATTATTCCGTCTTGTCATCTCACGACATCTCTACTACGTGTGCTAGTATCATATTGCTATACATCTATGGCTCTTGTCTATGGCCTTTCATTAAGATTCTATTAAATGCAACGGCGAGGGGTGGGGTGGGGTGGGGGGCCGGGCGGCACATGATAAGGCAACTTTGTTGAGCTATCATTTGTGGCCAGGTCGCTTCTGAAACATAAGTTAATGCCTCACTGGGCTTTGCCTGGTCGGATGGAGATGGTTTCGTTGTTTTTGTTTGTTTTTGTGTGATTGGTTTCCCTTGCCTGTACGTTGCACTACGATCGTGTTTTTGTACCGTTTGATATTGTAACGTTCTTACCCGCCCCTACTGTGAACGAGAGCTTTGTAGCTCATCGCATTCCTCCCGCAGTATAAATATTCGGATTCTGAAAACACAATTATGCCGAGTACCCGTTCCACAGTAGCCTATTATAGCACCATCACTGATACAGCCGTGCAAGTCACTAGCACTGGGTTTCCCCATTGGTGCTTAATCTATTGGGCCAAACGTTGGCTTATCAGTAACTAAGTGGGGTGGGGCAAAAGCTATCGGCAATTTTTCTTAAGGCACTATCTCCAGATGACGAATGTGCCATGGAAAGGTCACCCGTGGTGTTTGATACCGAACATGGTTTTGGAAATGATAAAAAAAACGCGATATGAAACTACTTAATATAAAAATTAATATTAAACGTGCATAACATCAAAAAAGCGGGTATACACGCGAAGCTTTCCGCTCATGAGTGGATGCTTGCCCACGGTGTATACTTGGGAGCATTTGCCACCGCAGGTGGTCACAACAAAGCCCCCTTGGCTCGTGGGTGGTACAAGCAGAACCTGGCACTTAGTCATGCCCCGCCTTGGCTCTGTTTCCAGGCGCTGCCTTTGCGTTGGTTGCCTGTCTGCGCGCGCGCGCCCCAATCGACGTCGAATATCGTGTCCGTTCACTAAAACGGCCGTTGTTTCTCTGCAGTGACCGCTCCTGGGGTCGTGTGTGTCGATTCACGCGTTGTTTTCACGATTCGAAGCATTTTTCGATTTAAAGATTTCGTGACTGCAGGGATTAATCTTCTTGGTTCTTTCGGTAAAGTCACGTAGAAGGGATATAATAAAATAATAAAAATAATACAATACAAATAAATCTATAAATATGATAAATTCCTGTTGATATGCAAATTCCTTTGTCAAGGCGCTTTTCCTCCCCTAACCCAGCTTAAAATAACGCTGCCAAGCTTGGTGGTGTTCATTCAGACGCTGTCTTTCCGACAGACCTGTTCTTCACCTGAGGACGGCTGCTTGCGTTGTGGCCAAACGTCGTGAGAATTGTATTTTATTATGTTTTATGTTTATTATTTTATTATTTCCCTTCTACGTGACTTTACCGAAAGAACCAAGAAGATTCGAAACATCTACGATTGGATGAGATGTTACGTGCGGCTTCATTGAAATGTAATTTGTTGCATACTTAAATTTACGCCGCAGAATATACAATACGTGTGTACAGTTTGGACCGATGGACCGAAACAAAAATGAAATTTTATTTTGAAAAAAAAAAAAAACCCCGAATCAGGTGTTTATTTTATTTTGGTACCGCATTATCCAGTTAGACACACATTTCTCTTTTTAAACAAACTTTGGGGGGCAGAGGGTGGGTGGTCTTTATAATCCATTCGCCGTGTGTGATACCATCTGTATAACTTTATTGACACGGGCACAAGTTTGGGTGGGTGAGTCTTATTTTCCAGTCGACTGAAATCCGGGAAAATACGGCAACTCACGATTTCTCCACGTCAAACGGTTTCCGTTATTCTTCAATGGCAATTGGAGAGAAAAAAGCCCGTGCGAGGAAGAGAGGAGAGGGCCCTAGCCTCGATCACAAAGCGCAACCAATAAAACCAGAGACGATTCGATGCTGCGTAACTCATATTTTTTTTTACTGTAAAACAAATGTACGGAATGAACAACAGATGTACCCAAGGCTACACAACAGAAACGATACAACGCACTCGCATGTAATGCCGAGTGTCTGTTAATCATGTATGTACAGAATACAAAACAAGCACTATCAGTAGCATCGTTATGGAATATGGTCAGAGTAAATATAACATAACGCGTACATACATAAAGGCCATAATGCCGCTGGTTATGATTATGCTGTTAATACGCAAAAGCCAAGGAAACGCAAGCAGAACAGATATCAACGTCGCGGAATTTAAAACAGGACAGTTATGAATTTGGTAATTTTACGCTGTTGTCATTATACGTATGAACTTGATAAAATATTGAGGATGAAAAGCGTCGGCGTATGTGTATGTACAAAATTACGAAACGTTATGTTATATATAAAAATTAGAAAACAGTACAAATATTTCAAACATTCCAACGTACCTCAAAACAAATTATATTTTTGTTAAACGTCGGGCAATAGTGTAAACAATCGAAATAAATGCGGAAAGTATACACACCACCCCACAACGCTGCGGACAACGGTTTCTGCCTGACCCCTCACCCTAAAAGTCCATGGGGCCCAGGGAAGCTTTAAGTGAATGTTGGTCTCACACTCGGCGAGGCAACTTGGACGCGTTTTTGTTTGGTCCAAATCCCACAGATGAAATTTAGATGTCATAGACCAAATGTGTGTGGGGGTAGAGTGATCACACAGCGGCGAGCACACCGTGCTACAAATAGAGGGACCCAAGTTAGATTAGATTCCTGGCCCACGGCTAACAGCGGAGAGTAATATCTTAACCGATTCTGGGTCAGGCCCCAACTTTCCTCCCTCCTAACTTGACCAACCCACATAGACCAACCTCGTCGAGAATGGTCAGACAGATCCATGACCGACAGAGTGCAGGAATGCCTTCGACCAATGGTAGATTGACGGTTGAATGTTATTCGAATGATTTAGTCTCACAGGGCTCATGCAATTGTTTGTAAATTACATTTGCAAGGTTTGCAAGTTACAATGAAAAAATGTTAATTCAAAGGTTGTCTCGCAAATTCACTTTATTGTGGTTTTAATGGCCATATTAAGGCATAGGTATCATGGGACCTTAGTGTCAGAATCAAAGTATGAAAAATTGTAGATTTTACACTTCATGGCAATAAAACACGTGTTAAGATAGTCAAACACCAAGGGTAAAACCTATTGTAATTATTGATACTTTGATACTGGCAAAAGGATCCCATGATATAGCTACTCACCTTAGCTATAAATGCTCTGATACATGCATTGTCTTTGTACTGTCTGCATTTTGGCGTTCTCTGGTCTGACACGGGTGAGGCGAGGCCATAGAGAAGGCCGTCTCTGATGTGGGCCAATCAGTTTCAAATACAATGCATATATTATCAGTTTGTTTGCATGTTCACCACAAGTACGTGTGATTCATACTTGAGTCCTTGATAAAGGAATAGGTATCACCACTAAATCATTACCAGTTCAGGTGGTACCCATCTCTGCTGCATCCAACGTTTAAACAAATGCTGCTGGTTAAGTCTGGAAGGCCAAGAAGACCACGAGATATTTCATATGCGGAGACACAGGAAGGCAATATATTTCCCAGAATGCGTAGGTGTTTTTAAATAAAATTCCGCAGGGCTGTTCTATCTTCATCATAGCAACTGTGAGGATACATGCCGACACAGCTGTCCATATCCAAGGGGTGGCAAAAACAATGATAACAAAGCTATTAAGTGGGCAAACGCCAACTTAATTTAGCGACTAAAAAAACCCAAAACTAAACGTTTATATAGATTTTTTTTTGGGGGGGGGGGGCGGTGGGTAGGAAAGGTGACAATATATCCAACCGTAAAAAAAACGTGTTTAATAGCTACTTGAGAACTAATTTACAAACACTTTCTTCCTGTTCTTCGGCGAAGGCTGCGGCAGTTCCACCTGCTCGCTCGTTAGGAGCTTCGCGTTACAGCGGCCGCGACGACGACGTACAAAACGGGCGGGACTACAAAGTTCGCTTTACGTTACATGCGCTATACAAAACAAACATTTTGCTCAGCAAATTATGCAACAGATTGTCGTTAGCTTTTAGTTTATTTGCAGGCTGTGTGCAAACGCACACTCATTCAGTTGGCAGAGAGAGCGAGAGAGAGCGAGTCGTCCTCGCGTCCAAACCCATCCATTCCGTCACGGTTAGCAGCCGAGGAGGGGGGGGGGGGGCGTGATGAGTTGAGGGGAACACGACGCACGACTGGGTTGGGTTGGGGGTTTATTTCAGCGGTTGCCTGAAGACAACACTGCAAGCCGCGTGGTGAAAGAGGGCAGGGTGTGCGCATTAGCCAAGACACGCGTTCAGTTTATGAGCAATATATTTATTTATTCGGACGGCCGTCCCTCTGCTTCACCTCCTCTTCCCCCTCCTCGTCGTTCTCTTCGGTGGGTTACGCATATCGCTCCGCTAATCGTGCTTCCAGCGGTCACGTGAAGCACCGTGAGAAAACTCCATCGATGCATCGACGCGGGCGACCGTACCGTCTCCCCGTCGTGCCCCCCTCCCCGCCACCAGCAGCAGGGAGAAACCCTCTTTCTCCTACGTGAGTGGACGGGGCCGTAGGAGATAGACCAGTCAGGTGGCGGAGGGGTCGGGGTAGGAAGGACCCACGGAGGGACCTACACACTGAGTGGTTTAACGAAATTTGACGTGGGCCCTGATTGCGAGGAATGAAATGGGGCCTCCCCCTTACTGTCCAATATCCCAGAATCTTCATATCCTGGCACCTGGGCCCTACCCCCCCCCCCCCCCCGGGCCCACGGGGCTGCAGCGCGGCACGACGTGCTGCCTGCACCGCTCGAGATAGCGACACCAAGTGTACGGAAGAACCTACGGACGGAGAGACCCATGAAGGGGACCACCTGAGCGTATGTCAGTAGCTGTAGGCATCTGCGTAAGTGGCGGCGCTCGCCAACTCCCCGACGTACGTGGGGAGGGGTGGCGGGGGCGGCGCCGTGGTGGAGTCGTCGAAGTGCGAGAGCGGCACGGTGGTGCCGTCGCTGGGGGCTCTGCGGCACTCCGACTTCACGAGAGGCCGCTGGCCGTCCAGGAAGGCCTGCGAGAAGACCACCTCCGGGTCGCACACGAACTTGTAGACATACCGCTCGCCCGCCACCTGCGATGGAGGGGGGCGGCATGAGGGGGAGGGGCTTTAGGGGCTGCAGTACAGGTCCTTGGAATTTCAGAATCAGAATCATTATTTAGGCAGGAGGAATCTGATGAGCTATGGAAGCTCTTATTTTTTTATGTCGAGTATAGGACTGCCCCCCCCCCACACACCTACAAAATGTGTGTGTATATATATATATATATTTCTTTAGAATGGTTGAAATATAATAATGGAGCCCCCGTAATAGATCCTATTGGTAATTCGCGACGCTACGGCTTCATGTGTAATGTTACCAGTTATACAGCGAAATGTAATCGTTTGTTATTTAAATGTTGACTTAGTCTTACAATTCAAATAACCAAGGTCACTTCATTATTATTAGTGTTTGTTTAGCCACGGAAAGCATCACGGAGCCTCATGATTCTTTTTCTGGAGGGTGTTGTGGATTAATCGTGTACCTGAGATTGACAAATTAATAACTCATGAATTTTTCCTTAAGCCCAAATTAGTAATCTAAAAACCAGTCATACATTCATTGTTATTCTTGGAAATGCTCATTACGAGTTATGTGCTTAAACCGAACAAATGTGCTCTGGTTAATCCGAAATTCACGTGATCGCCTCTATAGTACAGTAGTTACATATCTTTACAACAGTGGGTGGCGTTTGATTGATGTTCATTGGAGTGGCTCTTCTATAATCCACTTCGTGGGCCAAGCCTTCTGCGTGGGAGCAGGAAAGTGTTATCACTGAGCACGCGCATCATAGACCGGTCGATCGTTCGCATTCGTTCTCAATCGAAAGAGTACCATTCGAAATCGTCAGTTGTGCTTCATTTTGAGTAATTTATCCGATCAAGTTTTAATTCACGAAGCTGCGCGATGGCAGAGAAAAGTAAACACCATTGATACCTACATGGGGAATATGGCATAGAGAGATCCGCGAAAAATTTATATTTTTGGATTGTTCGTGATTTTTAATTTTTCACGGCAGTCCTCCTCGTCATTCGTGTGGACAATCGAGTCTACTGCACTAATTAAGCACAGCCTACATGATTTAAGCAGGAGGAAATAAACCCATTGAGACACGTGGAGCAGCATCGTCCCTCTTTTGCAAGGGAACGAGATCCTGGAGTCAAGACATTTTAAGTACAGGAAGCACTTGAAAACGTCTTAAATGTAACCAAGCTAGTCCAAGTGTTGACAATAATCTCATACACAATTTTAACAAGGCAAAGTAAAGAAGGGGCCAATAGCACTTCAATATTTTGAATAAAGAATGAAAGGCAACTTGTGGAAAGGAAAGTTACTCGATGAGACAATTAGGAGGTAATGACATTTTAAGAAGGTTCTGAATCTACAAAGAGACCATCCCTAAAACGGTAACACCCTCGGGCCCCCCCTTCTCCACCCGCTCCTCTCCCCTCCAAAAAAAGTAACATGGCCCAGTGTGCAGGCACGACGCGTTTGAGCAGTAATCTCACGGGAACTTTCCAATTACGAACACGGAGTGCAAAAAAACATTTAAGCTGAGAATTACAAAATATGTATTACAAGTCGACATTTTTGCACAAGACGAAAAGGTGCTGTAACAACTTCTAATTAGTGATACAACTTAACCAAATCACAACAGAATGATCATTATCGTCGTCATTCTTTATGAAAGTATTAGTGGCAGAAAAATTGCGGAATGCCTCTGGTGTCGCCGTCAAGACGCACTGGGGGGCGGGGGGGGGGGTTCGTATTCTCACCGAACATATTCTGGGTCGCTAACACTCCAGGTGGCAGGTGACTAATAACAGCGGTCTACAACTTTTTAGACGTCGTCTGCTTCAGAGATGAAATGTGCTATTTATTATGGATTTTGACTTGCTGAATTCAAATATGACAATTAAAACGAATGATTGGCTACTGTTCCCAAGATATTTAAGTTTTTACATTTCACGTTTATGTATATTTTGTAGAGTTTTATTCATAAATTGTAAACCTAGGGCTTTTCATCTGTTTATGCTTTACATGATAACATGTCACTGTCCTGTTCATGTAACACTTAAAAAAAACAGCAAAAGGGTTATATAAATAAAATGTATGATGAAACAAAAGGCAAAAAAAACTATTATGTATATATAAGTACATAGTTTAGTCCTTATTCAGTGTCTACTCGGCACTTCTTGGCTTGTCTCTTGTATTCATTAAATGGAGCATCTCTTGTTACTGTCCCGTAATAGTCTGCAAGCATTGATGGGCTCCATTTGCCCTGATAGCGTTTCTCCATTGTTGCAATGTCCCGGTGAAATCGCTCGCCATGCTCGTTGCTCACTGCTCTGCAGTTCGGTGGGAAAAAATCGAGATGAGAGTGCAAAAAATGTATATTTAGTGACATGTTGCCACCAAGGCCTTGAGGAGGGTTTACACCAACTCCCTGTAGTTGTCTGCCTTGTTGTTTCCGAGAAAATTTGGTGCCACTAACTGTAAGGATTTCCATGCCGTATTTTCCTTGCCACGCAGTGCACTGTCAAATGCATCATCTCGAAGAAGTTCACGAATCTTAGGACCAACAAAGACACCATCCTTTATCTGAGCTTCACTTAAGCTTGGAATTTTTCACGGAGGTACTTGAAAGCTGCTTGTGTTTTGTCTATGTCTTTGACAAAGTTTTTCATCAGACCCAGCTTGATGTTTAAGGGTGGTAACAAAATCTTCCTTGATTCAACAATTAGTGGATGCTGAACACTTTTCCTCCTAGACTCCAATGACTGTCAGAGTGGCCAATCTACTGTGATGTAGTGGGAATCTCTCGCACAACTATCCTATTCGCAGAGAAAACAGCAGTACTTTGTGTATCCAGTCTGCAGACCAAGCAAGAGAGCAGCAACCTTAAAATCGCCACACAGCTGCCACTGATGTTGGTCATAGTTCATGCACCTCAAAAGTTGTTTCATGTTGTCATAGGTTTCCTTCATATTGACTGCATGACCAACTGGAATTGATGGCAAAACATTGCAATTATGCAGCAAAACAGCTTTAAGACTCATCTTCGATGAATCAATGAACAGTCTCCACTCATCTGGAGCATGAACGATGTTGAAGGCTGCCATCACACCATCGATGTTGTTGCAGGCTACAAGATCACCTTCCATGAAGAAGAATGGGACAAGATCCTTTTGACAGTCACAGAACATGGAAACCCTAACATCACCTGCTCGGAGATTCCACTGCTACAGTCTGGAGCCCAACAGCTCTGCCTTACTCTTTGGTAGTTCAAAATCCCTGACAAGGTCTTTTAGTTCACCTTGTGTTATGAGGTGTGGTTCAGCGGAGGAGGATGGGAGAAAATCTGGGTCATATGACCTTGATGGTTCAGGACCAGAAGTTTCATCCTCTTCCTCTTCCTCGCCTGACTCAAGTGAGAATGAGTAAAGTTGGACTACATTTATTTCGGAAGCATTTTGGCTGTAGACCAGTGCAAGTAATGGGCGTAGCGCGATAAATGCACTGTATGACGTGTGGTGGGTGTGTAAACATTCTCCGGGTTCCCGAACCCCGCTGAAATGAATCTCTTTGATGAGGACGCGTGTCGCCTGTGCTTCCACGTACCTTCTGCATGATGCCCTTCTCATAGTAGTACCGCAGGGAACGGCTCAGCTTGTCGTAGTTCATGGCTGGCCGATTCTTCTGGATGCCCCACAGCCGAGCGACCTGTGCAGAATAAAGCCGTGTTTATTTAACTGGCCACCAAGCATTCAAGGGGAGATACTAACATCTGGAAAAATTTTGCTCCGTTTACTAAATATCTCCTTGCTTTTATCGATTCTTTGTCAATACTCCGACCGCCCCTTCGTCGGAAAACAAATTCGTTCGGAAAAATTAAGCACGCAACAACGAACTTCACCACGCACGAGCTGCGCGGGAGGCCGATAAAGCTTGTGTGTGCGTGCGTGCGCGGGCCAAAAGAGAAAGCGGCAAAGTTGACGAGAAGAACAAAACAATTCACATCGGGGACCGCTAATTGAAATATGGCACCATCTGAAGAAATAAAGAGCTTATTGAAATGGCTCGTAATTACAGTGAATGTTTCAGTTGTTTATGGTTACATACATTCTTAACACGAGCAAGTGTTGCTGGGAATAAATTAATAAAATACTCCTGAAAGGAAGTCAGTGGTTCTGTGGTGGATTATTTTTTTTTTAACCGACTTGAGTCTAGGGGCCGGAATTTACCCACGCTTGTCTCGGAGACTGTGGTAACACCCAGTGGAAGGCATTGGCAAAATGTTACCGCCAATCCGCTCATAACTGGGATCAGAAATTGTTACGGGTATAGTTGTGGGGGCAGAGGTAAAATATTTTGTATTTAATCTGATTTATGGTCAAGAGCACAATGAGAATTAGCCAATTTTGTGGTCAATGTTTTACTGTCAGTCTTGCTGGATGCGAAACAAAACCAATTCAGCCAGCAGCCAGGACAGCGGAAGCCCCCTTTGCACTCGTGGTGCTGTAAGAAAATTCAGCTTCACAAAGCCACAATCAAGGCTCCAACTGTGGGGTTTGCCAAACAACCCAACATAGGGCCCACAGGGCTTGGGAAATTATTGGTGCCAGTTCTGCGGGTTCCCGCACATCTGTACGAAAAGTGCGTGCATTATATATTCTGCAGAATTTGGAGATGCAATTGTTGCTATTGAAATGTATTCTATAAAAATATATTGATAAGATGCATTTTTTAAAATATTTTGAAGGAGCAATACTAGTTACTCGTAATAGATATATGAAAATATAAAATATGTATATATATGGAAAGCGGTAGACAATAGATCTTGCAAATGAAAGAGACGTTTAAGAGGATAGAATTTTTTTTTTTACGAGGTGGAGCGGTAGCGTAGTGGATAGTGCATTGTGTGTGCACCGTGATCTGTCTGGGAAATAGATCCGGGTGTGTATCTATTTCCCAGACAGACACGGCTGAAGTGAAAAAACCCGTGACATCGCTAGTAGCAGTTACCTCCTCCGGGTCGAGCAGCTTGAACTCCATGCCGCGCCCAGTCCACACGATGGTGCCAGCATGTGCCGGGTCCTCCAGCAGCGCCACCAGGAACTGCCAGAGTTGCAGCGAGCCACGGCGCGGGTACACGGGCGGCAGGCTCTCGCGGAACCCACATACCTCGGGCTTCACGTCCCCACCTGACACGCCACAGCACCAGCAAGATTTAGACTGGCGCGTTTTAGGCCACAGCCCTATAGGCCAGAGCCCTTGAGGCTGGAGCCCTTAACGCCAGCGTGCACATCAAAACATCTACATGCTGCGTCTTTCCATGACCCGCACAGAATGTGAAGGACTGCCCTCTGACCAGATTGCAAGGAGGACTGAGAGCTCTGAACACTGCCTATGACGATGATGGTGGGTTGCCTGGCCAGGCCAAGTAAGTACATGTGAGAAGAAGAATGTTCTACTTCTGGAGTCCATGGGCCCGTGCAGAATTTGGTACCCAAATTCGGTAACTCTAGAGGTGCCAAATGATTGAGTGACACCAGTTTGTGTATGTGGCTAATTAATGTGGATAATTTGCTTGCTTAATTGTTCAATAAAAAGTATTTTCATAATTCAAAGAAGTTGGTATGACTTAAGCTTTGCCATCGCAGGTAATACTAAGTGAACTATTTGGTTTGGGCCCCTGTGGACTGACACGACAGCGCAGGTCCTCGCGTTTGTGCCGTACGGCTCCCCCGGATGCGTTTTCCCGGTTGTGTTGCATTGCTCTTGTTGTTCGGCACGACTTCTGACATTTCGCTGGGAGCTTCTTCGATCGAGTTCATGAACAAGCGCCCAGCCCGTGGAGAAAAGCGTTGGAGATCGTGCCAAAACAACATGCAGCACAACCCCAAAACCACAATAATAAATATCCCCCGCGCTTTAAGAATCTACGTAGACACGCATGCACGCACGCGGAGAGGTAATGCCACAACACATAACGGCAAAAAAATACATCTGCCCCAGGAGTCTACGTAGGTTACAATCGGGGACCTTTGTTTTTGTATGCCGAGCACATTGTGGGTATTTCGCATGTGAAAGCCAGCACAGCTCGTGAGTGGTGGTCGTCCTGTGTACTTGAATCTGTTTCCACTGTGCATTTTGAAAGCAAATCTAGAATTAAAAACACGAAATACGATGCAACGGACGCACCATCAAACCGGTCTGGTACGACACAGGCATCGTCGTAGTATGACCTCCCTTCCTTCTCGTACACGAACGCTGCACGCAGACACACACACACAACAGTAAGTGGAGGAGACAGGGTTAGACGCGTCACCGGTGAGCACAAAACAAAGACACTCTTTGGTTCTTTCGGTAAAGTCACGTAGGTGAAAATAAAAATAACTAAATTTAGTTATTTTCATTTAAATTTTTTATCTTATTTTTATTATTTAAATTTTTACCTATGTGACTTTACCGAAAGAACCAAAAAGTATGGATCCTTGCAGTCACGAAAACTTCAAATCTAAAGACAAAGATCCCCCGTATAGCCTTAACATACTGTTGGGGCCAGTGCTGTTAGCAAGTAGCACCTATGAAGGCCGGATCGGTACACGAGGCAGGTGGCCAGCACCACGCCCGACCGCCTTTGTCTCCCCAGTGACGATTTTTACACACCAGGTACTCTTTTGAGGCTGAGGCGACCTATGGGAGGCCCAGGACCGGTTCAGATAATCATCACTGGTGTTGGCCATGAGCGGGAATCGAACCCCGGGTCGCCAGGTTTGTAGCGCAGTGCACTAACCGCTAAACTACCGCTCCCCACGTTAGTGTAGCACACACACACTCCTCCTCTACACAAACAACAATTACGAGCACACTGGATGACTTGAGAATTGCTCGAGCGGGGAGTGGGGGGCGCCCCAACGATCACCGATTCCAATTAGCCGTGTTACGAGCGAGCCTCGGATGCGCCGCCGCCGACGGCCGGAGTTGTCGCACAAGACACCGCTATCCGCCGCCACCGCACCGAAGCAAAAGCACTTTATTCCCAAGTGTCAACAACCGCACTAGAGTGGGGGACCGCGGAGGGGGGGGGGGGTTCGAGGCACCGCTTTTCTGGTCACCCAATCCGGCGGTCAAACACGCGGCGAGGGTTCTGCACATTTAATACGACGATGTAAAGCTCTAAAAATAACCTGCCGACTCACTGACGCCAGCGAGTCATTCGTTTAGAACGATGACTCAAGAGCCACGGCGACGAGGGCGCGAGTCTTTTTTCAAGCAAGAGCTGCCACCTACGCCACCCTACGCCAGTGCGGCGATCATCAGAGGCGTAGCCCGGCGCAGCCTTCGGCGGTCATGCTGGGTTGGACCGCACATTACTCGGCAAGGCGAAGACGCCTGCCGGCACGGGCAGCGAAACGTCGGGCATTGTGCTGAACAACACGCAATGGTACCGTCACAATAAAAAAAACGTCAGAGGCAGCTGCCACTGGTAACACTCCTACCTGTGTTGCTGTGAACAAGGCATCATTGCCAAAAATGTCACCGGTGATATACATTTAAGGCAGCGTTATTGCCGAATGTATGGTAGGCCAACGCTTTAATTAGCAATTTATTATTGCCACTTCCCATTGTGGGCACGGGTGCAAATCTTGATGCCCGTCGCCGCAATCATCGGTGCCAACGGAGATTAGCAAAGGCAGCAACTATCGTGAATTGGAAGCCAAGGAGCTGTGGGTGGGGGGCAGGGGTTGGGGGTGGTTTACAGGGGAAGGGGTGAGCAGCAGCTCAGTGCCGCCGACCGACCTTCGCTGTGTTTGGAGGTGGTGAAGCCGTCCCCGCCCATGTACATCGGTGGGCAGCTGGGCATGTCTGTGCAATTGGAAGGGGTGCCAGGGAGAACAGACATCATTATACGAGGTCGCAATCATTAAACGCAAAGTACGTGCCACGAATGAACCACAATACCTTGGCGATCTCGTCAAGGAGCATAAACCATCACGCGAACTCCCGTCGTCATCCTCGCAGCAGCCACTTTTGCCTGACCATCGAACAAAGACGGTCACCGCATCGCGCGCATTTAGATGCGCTTCTGTGGCCATCTGGAATGCTCTTTCTTCCGATATTAAGAAGCCGCTGAAGCTCGGCACCTTTAAACTAATCTAGATTGAAAACTAATTTAGATTGAAAACTAATTTCTTTAGAACTGCTTTTTGCGTTCAGTTTGTTGTCCTTCCGCCGCACCTCCGATTAGAACGAATGGCTACGTATCGTGCGAAAGAAGTTCAACATACATACATCATGTGTCTGCAAGTCTGTACGCGTAAACATGTACAAACATGCGGGCAGCGGCAAGGCGGTGGTTAGCGTGCTACGCTCTGGGTCGACTCAGCTTAAACGTGAAGCTGTTGCGGCATGTACACATGAGTGTTGGGCAGGCAGAGGCGGCCGGGGCTAACAGCACTTACCTCAACAGTCCCTCTGGTTACAGGGGGGACGTTTGTCTCTGTCCTTTGTCTTTCGATATGCAAAGACAAAGATCTCCATATAGCCTTAATAGACTGGTGGGACAAGTGCGATTAGCGAGCACGATGAGGCCGGCATGGCACACGAGGGGGTAGGTGGCCAGCACTAAGCCCAGCCGCCTTTGTCTCCCTAGTGGCGATGTTTACACATCACACCAGGTACTCATTTGAGGCCGAGTCGTCCTATATATATATACACACACACGCTGTAAACTGAAGTTGGATCCAGTCGTCGTTATAATAAACGCAGCAGCGATAAACGTCACAGAGGAGCGGGCACGCTGCCCAGCATGAGGACATCAAGAAAATCACAGGCAAATCGATGATGCGCGCTGGTGACGTTACACGGCTTAGCTGCGACACAACGCTTATCTCATGATCCGGAGATCGCCGAGTTCAAATCCATGGAGGAGAGGGGTTGGGGAGGGCGCGGCTTAATAATACAAAAATAAAATGAGCACTAATTTGTAGGAAGTCAACAGCTGTTGTTCTGTGGATGAAGCCGGCCCCCCTCCACTATAAAAACGTGGAAGTGCCCAGGGTCGCCAACGGACACGATGCAGTGTCCCCATGTTCGTTTTCGCGCAGGAAGAATAACGCAGAACCATCGTGAAGGTCACTCTTGACAGTCCCGAGTCGTCCACAAAGGCAGATGCAACGACTGGAATTGGAGGAGTCGAGCGTGTCGCCAACGGTGCGACACATCATTACGATGGCTCCCGTTTTTCAAGTAGTGGCAGAAGGGTGGGGGAGGAGGGTTAACGTAGCCTTTGGCTGGGGAGGGGCCGAGGGTTAATTTCTTTAACCAAGGCAGAGGGAATAGGGGGGGGGCAGGGCGGTATGAAAAAGACAAGGAACAAAATAACAGGCGAAAGGAACAAGAGAACCACACCCATCTGACTCCGTCATTGTTCTCGACCGTCTGCCATCCGTCACCCCCGTTGCGCGATTCGTTTGCACAAAGTCGCCAACGAGCAATTCTATGTGCGCACCGCCGCGAGCGCGAGGATCGATTTTTGTTAAATCGACGAGTTGCTTGCACGTGTTTTGGGCGCCGTGGTGGCGTGATGTTAACTCCCCTCACCTGGAGTGGCTGATAATGATGGTGCTAACTGATGAAAAAACACGTGTTGCTGTGTTCGAATAATCGGCACACGATGCTGCCACGGTGTCTGGACTTGCAATCGAGATGTCGCCATTTTGATATCCCGAAGCGGCAGTTAGAACGACGGTGCAAGTTTCTCAAATCCCTCCGCCTCTGTCCACCCAGCAGCAACAGAAATGGTTACGGCGTAGCAGGTCGATGGGCAGGTCACATGCAGGGGGGGGGGGGGGGGGTAAAAATTGTGGGTACTCGCACCGATTCGATCCCGACCCTGACACCTGTATATTTTTGAGTTTGAGCGTTCTCCCCGGGGTCACGTGGGACTCTCTCTTGGTCCTCCAGTTTTTTCCCCTTCTACATTTAGAATCAACAAAAATTTAGGATATTTGGGAAAAAAACACGTTTGAAAATAGCGCATTTTTTTCTGTGGCATTCGTCCCAAGTTTTGGCAAACCGTTTTATCAATTTGGTCGGTTTTTGATTGGCCGAGTCCCGAATAGCAATACCTTAAAACTATAGTTTTTTTGATAATATCCCAGTGGCGGATCGTCTTTAGGAGAGTCATGGCGCCCCTCACGCACACCCCATGCCGCATTATTGACCGATATCCAGACAGGGCTAATGGACGCATAGAAACTCGGCAGAAAGTGTCATGATATCAAACGACAGCGGTCATCCACGAAGTTGATTTTCCAGGTAGGCAGCCTGCAGAGAGAAGTGTGCACAGAGGGACGTGGAGCTCTCCATTATTAACAAGTTGCTTGCATTTAGAAATGTTCCGAACATCAGATGGAATAAGCTTAACACATGAATAGAAATGCACTCGGTGCCGCTGCCTTGCTCGGGAACAGATTCCCACGTCTTGGGCTGCTCTGCCAAGCGAACGCTGAAACCACGTTTTTTTTCTTTCTCCAAAACAGCTGCCCCCCCCCCCCCCACCTTAGGTTAGATTTTAAAAAATGGCACGATTTTTAAATGAGCTTCACGAGGCCAGATAACACACATCGCCCCCCTCTATCCGCCATTTCCACGCAAGCGACTGCAAATTGTTTGGAAATCGGTGATCGCTAACGTTGCGCCAACCGCTCGTAAGTGGGAGTACAGTCATTACGAGCTTCTTTCGCCTAGTGCCACTGGCGCACCTCCTCGCTTTGAAGCTAACGAGCTTGACGGCAAGGCGCCCCCCCCCCACCACTCCCTTCGCCGGATACTTTTTTTATTCAGCGAGACAAGGCGGATCAATAAGAGGCCCTTTTAGGACATTTGAGCGGTTTTGCCGGGGGAATCCGATATCCCATCAGCTAAGCACTGCGCCGTTTCATGCACTCGTGAGCAAGATGCATCTCAACCAATAGAATTGACCAAATATTGGGTGGGGGGAGCATTAACGATGCCAGAGAAATCAGCGCAGCGGTCAAACCCATCCGGCCGCTCGCCATTCCGCGAGCCGCCAAACCAGCCAACGCCCGCCCGCCGATCAAATGAGGTGTGGACGGCTGAGGGGAGGGGCCGAGGGGGGGGGGTAAGGGAAGCTGCGGGGGGGTGGGATCGGTGGAGAGTGGACCCAGAGATTTGTAACCCACCGAGTAAAGTTCTGCACTGCAACTGTGCTTGACGATGCAGACATTCGATGCTCTGCTCTCCCCAGCACGACACGGGCGGAGTGGGGGGTTGCATCTTGATGCGAGCAGCGATTTTCTGTTATCAATGTGGTTTGTTTTCACCCTCTCGTTCGTATCGTTTTCTCACCATTCCTGTCGTCAATGCAGTTTTGCTCGCTCCAAGAGCACAAACATTCGTGGGACGTTTGCATAAGCAGCAAGCGACCAATTCTTAAACGTGTGGTTCGACGCTTGTTATTCTGGACATTTATATTTGATTTCGATTGAAAAATCTACCCGCCGTGATGTGGCCACTCGTCGCAATCACAGACGTCCCCTGGTGTGCTACAGACCCGTGGGGAGGGTGCCCGAGTTGCTTGGGCGTGGTACTCAGAAGCCGTTGCCACGCGTTCACTATCACACAATCTATTACTATTTTTTATTTTACCACGTAAGGCCCATCGAGCTAGATAGCTCTTTTTTCAGAAGCGACCCTGGCCACAAATTATCGCTTAAATAGCGGTTTATGACGTGGACACTTATAGCAGCCGAATACTCTCAACGCAAAATCTAGAGGAATAAAACGGAAGATCCACACGCCGAGGGTTAGGATTGCTTGTGAACATGGCTTAAATGCGCACGACCAAGTCATGAATAGGGACTCGGCAAATCGTGTAATGTCTGAAGTCTGCAAAGTAGGGGGCTTTAGCGACGTTAATTTCCACCGGCCAAGTGAGGCGCTTTTAACTGCAAACTCTGCATCATTAGACCTCCTTTGCCAGTACTAAAATATAATAATAGGGTTTTTCCCCATTTTTCTGGCAACAAAACTGAAACCTTGTTACAAGGACTCATGTCTGCATTAACCACAATACTTGCAGTCAAAATGCAAACAAGTGTGTTTTTTGTTTGCATTTTGACTGCAAGTATTGTGGTTAATGCAGACATGAATCCTTGTAAAAAGGTTCCAGTTTTGTTGCCAGAAAAAAGGGGAAACACCCTATTATTGCAAACTCTTCACCAATGAAAGTGTCTATTTCCGCCTTGTTAAGGACCAAGTCACAAAACCACTTTCATATGCATTACCTTCACGAATACAAGTAACAACAACAAAAATTATAACGGCAGCCATCAACGGAAAAGCTGTTCTAAGCACGTGCGATGCACGCACGCAGGCACGGACAAACGGTCAAACCAAACTGGTTGCACAGCAGTAGCCCACCTCCTCCACGACGCTCGCAGCCAATTACGGAGATGTTGTTAAACACCCGCGATCTCATTAGCGAAGCAGCTGCTAATAAGGCACACGCTCGCTCACCCATCTGGTAGGGGCACTCGTTCCTCTCCTGCTTGATGGAGACGGGAGGAGGTGGTTGTGGTTGGAAAGGGGGGGGCGGTCCCCCCCCTAGCGTGTGGTGCGTGTGGCCATGGGGGTGCTGGCGGGGGGGCCCGGGGTACAGCTCCTCCCCGGGGTATCCCTGCGGCCCCACGTACTCCTGCTTGAGGCCGCCTGGCGGCCCCTGTGGGGGAAAGGGGCCCGCCGAGAGTGGCTCCGACGCCTGGCGGTGGAACTGCGGGCAGCCGGAGCGTGCCACGTGCAGCGGGAATGGAGGGCATGGATCCGACAGCTGTCGTTGCAGCCTTGGAGGTCGGGGGGGGGGGGGGTAGTGGGTCAGAGAGGGGGAGGTGGAAATCAACACCGAGGCATGAAATATGCGGATTTAATTATTTAACTTATTTTCAACAGATGCTCGGGTAATGATATTCTGTTACCCATCTGCATTATCATGCTCCTCACTATCGACAGGTGTCGATGCGTAAATTACGCGTGGAACCTGCTGGCCATTGGAACACGTGAACACGTTGAGCCGTGAACAAGCACGGTCCTCCCCGTAAATCATGATTCACCACTCCAGCGATTCGATTGTCATGATTACAGTTATGAAAAAAAACTATTATTGTCATCGATTTTCCCCGTCTCCTTTGTTTTTTTTCTGGTTTTTCTCCGTCTCCTTTTGTACAGAACTGGTCTCCATTAGTCTGAACGTAATATCAACAACTCATTTGCGTATCGTATTGCAAAAATCGTATATAATACATTCTCACATGCTCAATTGGCCACACGTATCGTGAGCGAAGTGATGCATTTCTCATCGGCGAATATTCCAGCGTCAATTCCTCGACGACACTCTAACCCCAAGTTCAACGATTCGCCACGGGAGACCCTCGTCCTATCCGCGCCGCGACTGCGCCCTGCAACCAACATCCACTCACGACCCCTGACCCCCACTCTCTGCCCTCTGCCCCTTGGTGCGGGTGTGGCTCACCGGCCGTCCTGGTAGAAGGCGCTCTCGGCCGGGTTGGGCAGCGTCGCCGCCACGTTGCTGTAGCCCTGTGATGGCACCGACGAGGATGAGAAGGATGCACCGGGCTTGGAGCGCGTGGGCGACGGAGACGGCGCCGCCCCCGCCAGCCCAGGGGGCCGGGACGGGGGCCCCGACACGGCCGCTAGCGCCACCGGCCCCGGGGCCGCCGCGACTGTTGCCGGCGGCGGCTGCAGGGGAGACAGTGCGGGCGTGCAGGCCGGCGTCGGGGTCCCCCTGAGCTTCAAGCCTTCGGCACCGCCATTCTGCATGTAGGCGCTAATCGCGGTGGACACGTGGGGGGGGGGGGTGATTTGAAAGGGGAGCGAGTTTGGAGGAGGTAGCACGTTACTAATAGCAACAGCCGTGGCGAGAGATACGCTGTACGTTGTATGCTGGGTGCTGAAATAAATCAATATTTTCGGGATTCTTGACCCGGACGGAGCAGGTGTGAATGCAGTGGCGGTGCGATGTATGTAGGTTGAACTTCTTCCGCACCGTATGTAGCCAACCGTGCTAATCGGAGGAGGTGCAATGGGGTACACGGTGCGACAGGACGCTCCTCACTTTGGACTGGCGAGGTGAGCCGAGGGATACGCGAGGCGCGGCGGTGGCCCCTGGCTGCAGGCGGACGCCGGCCCCAGGCACTGGCTGGGAGCCTCCTTCTTCACCTTCACGAACGGCGCGTGGAACGCCACTGGCGGGGAGAGAGGGTCATGCGAATGCCACTCAGGGAAGGCGCCACTGGCAAACAGGTACAGCGCAAATGGTGTGGGGGGGGGCGCGGGAGTGGCGGGGAGTGGTGGGGAACCCCCCACAATCGTGAGGAATCTCGGTTTGCCTTACTCTGTTGATTTTTTTTATCCGCCGTGAAGAAAATTTTATTTTATTTTTTGGTAGAAACAAAAAAATGCTCAATTTTTTTAAAACTATATTTCTCTGGATGTAATGACAAAACAATATTGCAAAGACAAGCCGGCGTAGCAACATGTAATTGAGTCGTTTTACATTTGTCACTCAGTCATTGCTACGTTTGTATTCTCTCAAAATAAATCCATAAAACTGCACCGCTTGACAACGAGCAGTTTCAAGCTCAAAAAAATATGCCACGGCGTTTGTGTGGCTTGCAAGAAATTATTCGGTGCATGAGCGATCAACGATCGACTTTTCCACAGGTATCAAAACAATCGCTCAGTGAGAAACATTCATTTAGATAAAAAAAACCCAATGAAACCCATTTGACGGCACTAATTTCCAGACTTACAACAACAACAACAACTCTCCTCACGCATGAACGGACGCTCTGTGCCGACACCGTGGCTGCCGTCGCAGCTCCCTCGCACGGAAAGGGGAGGTGCGCGCCTGCCGACTGACGTAGAGACAAATCGCTGGTGGCTAGCCACCTGCGCGGATGAGCCAACTGCGTAAACATTCTGCGCGGTGTGGCACACAATGCCGCGCACACGCACCCAGCGACCGCGCCGCCTGGTCATGCTCGCTTGTGCCCACTCGTGCTCCGGTTACTTGGCAGGGGCCCGTGTTTAATTTTGCATCATCGGCGTCAATCGCTGTCTCTGTGTGGCGTGTCGTGGCGGTGCACGGAACAGATGTTTGCCAGCCAGTGTTATTAATCCGTGCCCCCCCCTTCCACCCTCCCCCGTAAAACAAAACGAACTGGGGTGCGATTAACGGAGAAGTAGTATGGCAATTTGGCGAGGGGCCATGGCTGTAGGCATTCTGCACCATTACTCATTGCCTCGTTAGCTTTCCTCTAATCTGCGCTCTAATAACGCTCGTTAGGCCGTACAACGGGGTCCTGCTGCTCTGTGCAGACTCGCGGGACAGGAGCAGAAGCCCTTAACCGTGGCCAGGTCTGGCAAAAGGCGAATGCATGCCATTATCTGTTGCGTGCGCAATCCATTATCTGTTGCGTACACGATGCGTTGAGGCCTATCTGAAGTGTCTCCAGTTCAGCAATTATTTTTTCTCCCCCCCCCACCCCACTGTGGAGATTACATTAAAGTTTGTGGGTTCTTTGCTACTCGATGTCAGGAATGGCACTCATTTGGCCATGGCATTTAGGGAGACGTAGTCGTGACAACACCACCAGACAGCGCTTTTATCTGAGAGCCTTTGCGAGCGCCATTATGATGCTGTTAAACGCAACCTTCTGCTACCCGATTTGTGTTATTTATAACGGAACATTTATAACGAAGCCATTGATCCTGGCCGACTTAAAAAAACGTGAAAATGCCAAAGATAATGTTTTTGTCCGCGTCTCACAGTCTCTCAAAACCGTGGCCATGTTTTTTTGTTTTTATTTCGCAAGGTTTTTCAACTCGGAGCACCGCACCACACCGCGCCTACCGGCATGGCAACAAAGAACGACCGGCAGCAGCATCAGCGGCCGCAGCAAACGGCGCAAACATCACGTGCACCACATTGAACACGACGGCAAAGTATGTCAATAGTACAGTGCCGCTAATCAATGTCATCTCTTAGAAAAGAAGAAAAAAAACCCTTCAAGGTCACACGGCATGGACGGATGATGCGGCTGTGCCAGGAGGACATCAGCAGCACGAGTTCCATAAATGGAGACGCAGGCTCTCCGTATCTCCGATCTTAGCCGGCGGGCGATGACGCGCAGGATGTTTACAGACCCCCGTAACCGCAGCGTCAACACGGCGGGCTTGACCTTTACGGGGCAGCAGCGACTGAAAGCTGGAGCTTCAAACGCAACCTTCTCTCTCTCTCCTCTCTGTTGGGCATTCTTCAAGCCCCAGCGCTGCCATCGCCATCGGATCCGTCTGCTTCAGCTGCTGCCACCACCGCCAACCGGTCTGTAACCATTTAATAAAAAATGCTACCGAACGGGTTGTAGTGGTGGGGTGCCATTGGCTATAGGGCTGCGCTACGAAGCCAGTGGAGCAGGGTTAGATTCCAGGGCCACGGCTAACGTCGGTTGGCGAGCAATGTTTGAACAAGCCCTGGGCACCCCCTTCTCTGGTCCCGTTCACCGACCGGCGCGTTGGAAAAAAAAGAAATGGTTTCCAATCCAAGGGGGCAAAAAAAGAAAACAGAATGCAACGTTTTTGTTTTCGTTTAAATAATAAATGTTGCCGCACATTATCCAGACTAATTATACTCCCTCTCCCCATCTCGGCTGGTTGTGGAAATGTTCCATAATGTATTCCCTTTTGGGGAAACGCGCTTAAAAAAAATAGTTTTACGACCTCCAGCCCAAGCCTGCAGTTTCTTCGGTTGACTGAAACCAGACACGTGACCCCCCCCCCCCCCTGCCACAAAAGACTTCATTCATAAAGTGGGCGCAGCGTGCCGCGGCAGGCTGCGAGCCTCCGCAGCCCAAAGTCCATTCACAAAAATCCCTCCACCCGCAAGCTCACTTCCCGTCCTCCTCTTCCCCACTCAAGCTGTCAGCAATCAAAAACCTCCTGGTGCTGCTGCTGCCCCCTCCGAAAACAAGCAGCGCCGGTGCGGCCCAGGCAGGCCTCGCTCACACACGTGGCGACACAAAAACGCGCCGGGGATGCGTGGCCCCGGCGCGTATGCAACAACGCTGACGGCTGGATTTCTTTCAAACGTCGCACCGCGTACACATTTTGTCCCGCCGTCCAAGCCCAGATGGAGAAAGGGATGCCGTGCGCGTGCATGTGGGGTGCAGAGGCGCAGTGGTTAGCGCACCGCTCTACGAACACGGCTACCAGAGTTCCATTCCCACTCCACATCCAAGACCAGTGATGATGATCTTATGAAAACGATGAAATGCTGTTCATGTTTAAGTGAACGGAGGGAACAAGAACCCCTCAAAACGGGTAGAAAATGTGAAATGATGCAATTAAGATGGCAAAAAAATTATAACTGGACGCCCGCAATCGTGACATTTTGTTGAAGCGCTCACCCCGTTCAGGGTCGGGGGGGGGGGGGCGAGTCATTATGTGCCCCGAAATCAGCGAAATCCAACGGCACACAAACGACAATGTGGAATTTGCACCACTGGCAGACTGGTCGCTAATAGCGATGAGCAAGGCACTAACAACTCTTAAGAAAGGAGACACTCGAACTTTTGGACTTTCTTCTGCACTCAGAGATAGATGCATCCACACACAATAAACGGGCACGTGTAGGTGGAGGAGAGATGGAGAAGATGCAACGGAGAAGAGAGCTGTGGAGATGCCAGCCACCAGTAAAGGGCAAGAAAAGTAGAGAGAGACGGGGGGGGGGGAGGGGGATAAACGAGGTGGATGAACGAGGAATAAGGACAAAGAAGAGTAGCAGCACATTGTAAAAAAAAAGCATTCTGAAAACATGCCTCTCCCCCGGAGACCGAGCGGCCGCTGCCTCCCGCCTCTCGTGCCCCCCCTCCCCAATCGGTGGTCTTAAATCGTCGTAACATGCCTTGTTTCACGGTACGGTCCACACGCTCACCGCGCGTCCACTTCAAAGACTCGGGACGCTTTTGGACCAACGCACGATCGTGAAAGTGACAACGAGCGCACGCGTTGCCCGAGGAGGTAGACATCTACCTGGCAGCATCGGCGGTGGGGCCGCGTGGGCAAAGAGACTGGGCGCTCATCAATTGGCGACAGTGCCACGGACAAGAGAATGGGCGATCGACAAGAACCCTCATCATTGTCACCGCTGCTCGCACGTGGTCACTAAACACGACGAGCACCAAGAGAATGGAGACGCAGCGGTAGGAATTGATGCGTGAACTTAGGATAGCATAAAAAAATAGAAAGTTTACAAGGCAACCGACAATATCGTACACACGCCGGCGTGTGCCACGAACTAATGCACGGCGTAGCTCGCGCATCTCCTTCACTAATGAGCGTTGCACGTCGCCGCCTTGTAACACTTCAGCGACCCCGGATTTGGAAAGGGGAAGTGAATCCCAGTGTTTCTCAACCGCACCCTCCATCCCCCGACCCCGACCAAACCCCTTTCCCAATCCCGCCAGGGTCCACGCTTTCACGATTGCCAAAATCGTTTCTGTTCACGTTCGTATTAGAGCAAGCCAGCGCACAGCATACGCCTTTGCCAGTTAGTAGTCGTGTAAATACGCGTGGAGGTGGCGTTGAGAAACACTGCCCTTAAAACGGCAGGGGTGCGAGGATGAGCCTCCATGACGGCCGGGTTAAGGTGGCACTAAGCAATGAGTAAAGTCAATAAGGATGTCGCATACAAGGCCACCGCACACAGCAACAATCTGACGTAGCGACGGTACGCCAGGTGAATTCGCGTGGCATAAAAAAATAACCCACACGCAGCATCTGCGGATTTTAGCCCGAGCGCTGTCCGCTATTTTTTTTTTACTTTACAAAAAAAGTATGGAATTAAATGGATGAATAATATTTGTAGGTGGGAGGAGAAGCTTCGGGAGAGGCACGGGAAAAAGGTGGTGCAAGTTAAAAAAACTAATCTTGGAAACTTACGGTTCTCTGCTTGGAAGTCTGGCACAAACTGCTCATCCTCATCTGGGACTTTGGCTGCAAACGAGAAAACCCCAACGGTCAAAAAACGGAAGAGGAAACGCACTTACAACATCATCAGCGCTAGCGGCGCGTAAGTCTGACACATTACATTGCAATGAACATATAATGCGCCACATGTGAACACCGTCACCGAAGGATATAATGACAACAACAATTTGATCAGCATTACCATTTCCAAGTATATACATGTACAACAAAACGTAGTGTTGAATATTGTGAAGATTTTGAAATAAAGTGCTTTGGTCAACTAACTTGACGAGCCATAAAAAGCTTGGACTTCCTGAGCACAACAACAACAAAAATCCACTTAAATAAAAAAAAATCACCCAAATCCAGTCAATAGCAATAATCACTCGGTCAGCAAAGAAATATGAAATATGCATTAATTTTGAAAGGGCGACTGATCAATTCGGCCTCATCGGAAGAACTGCCACGGTGGCAAAAAATGATCAAAGTGGCCCCCAACATAGATGAATAATGAAGGAACGCACGGCCGTAATAAATTCGCTGCTCGCCAGGAAAGGCGGCTCAATGCGAAATCGGGCGGCTCCAGAGACGAAACTCCCAGCAGGACGCGTGGGGCTGAGCGGTGGCGCCACGCTCCGGGCCAGTGTGCACCGTCACACGGGCACGCCCGCACGCGCAGCAGCCACCCACCCCCCCTTCCCCCGCAGGCTCACCGACAAAACCCTCCACGGGCACGGCCGCTGCCGTTGCGGCCGTAGCTTCCGCTGGCGGCACTGCAGCCGCGGCCCGCTGCGAATGCCACGCGGTTCTGCTGCTAGCGCGGGTAGATTGACTGCATCGGAGCCTCTATCCCACATCCCTCGCCCCGTGCGCCCCCCCCCCCCCCGCCGTCAGCCGAGGCGAGTGGCAGCGGGTGCGGCAGCCCGAGAGTAAAGCGCGCAACGGCACTGGTGCGGCGGTGATGACAACGACGATGATGATGATGATCGGTGTCATGCTGCTTTGCCTGCCTGCTGGCTTGCAGGCGGGAGAGCAGACTCCCACCTCACCCCACCCACTCCCCCTCCAACCCACATCCCCCTCCACAAACATCACCACCCATCCATCCATCACCGCCTCCCCCCCCCCCCCCCCCCCCCAATGAATGCGCAGTGCAGCCCTATAGGAGCGCGAAGCCGCGATCGCCATTCACGACGCGAAGAAATTATCAACATCGTCAGTGATTATTAATCTGCTGCTGGATGAATACGTCAGGGCATCGCCATCCGCCGCCCGTCAAGATGGTGGCACGATGACGGGGAGTGACAAGTAAACACCGTGAGTGCTTGAGGGGGTGTTCTGGAAAAACCCGAGAAACCACAAAGTTCGACTCAGAAAAGTCGTTCTCGTTGAGAAGTAGATGAGGCAAATGAATGAAAGTGGATTACAGTATGAAGTTCGTTGGAATGCCAACTGTGGAGAGAGAATATATACTAAATGAGTGGACCGGAGTGTGTTCCAATGGACCTAGCATGGCTTATGAAATACATCTGCGGGTTACCAAGATCATTCTTAAACACCTCTAAAATTATATGGACCGGTTTATCATAACAACAGATTTACACAATATTTGAAGGAAGAGGACACAAGCGACGTGTGCGTAAGAGTAGAGCTCCACTGCACATTGTCTGGCCAAAACAATCAACACCGTGATACGGAGGGGGGAAAATCATAAAACTTAACTTTACAATGAAATATTTTGAGAAGTCAAATTAAATGATACAGGCCACACGGAGGAATTGTCGACGCGTCACCGTTAATGACCGAGCGGCTCAAGTGGATGCTGAACACAAAGTTGCGTGCTCAAACCATTATGAGATTGTGGGACCAGATGTACACAAATTTGGGTTTCTAAGAAACAGCAGCCATCGAGTTCCCCTTTCTCAAACCGAAAACGGGACACACGGGATCATGCCTTCTTAAACGCTCTCCCACTGCACATACGCAAAGCATCCAATCACCACCTGCCTTCAAAAAGCAACTCAAGGCCCTCACCTGTTCAGGCAAGAGTTCTGGCTCCGTGCCTCCGAGCTCTCGATCGAACAATGCGTCCGATTCATAGAATATTTACGTGTTCGAAATCGTGTTTATTATTATTATTTACTTTAAGTCAATGGAGAATAGTAAAAAAAGAAATCACATATATTTTCATTGTACAAACACGTGCCTATTCTTGAAATGGCAGTGCTCGCGCCAGCCGCGGAGGAAGCGGTTTGTCCAAATAGGGTAAAAGTTCCTGAGCTCAACAAAACATTATCAAGTTTTGTTCCAAGTGGATCGTCGATAGGAGAGTTCTTAAACATCCCCCCCCCCCTATAACTCCACCCCTGCATCACAGTCGAGAGACAGAGTTAATGCATTAACGGTGTTAACCTGTACTTAAAAATGTTTTATCCCGTGAAACAACAACAGCAGCAGCAGGTACCGCGAGCGCACAACTTGGAGAGAGAATCGAGGCTGAAACCCTCACCTTCTGCGAGCCAGGCCTCCTGGAGCTGACGGAGGTCTTGGAAAAGTTCTGCAAGAAATACAAAAACACGCCACTTTACAACGATTTGGCGCGGTCACTGCGAACGTCAACGCCACGGGGAAGTCTCACGGACGTTGCCGGTGAGACGCCAGGCTGGTGTTCGTATATCTTTCAGCCCATACCTTCAGACTCCTGTGCCAAACCCACAGCTCCTTCCAATACGTGCTTGACCAAGCGATCTGGCGGCTGGAAAAACAAATCGCCAGCGAAGAAAACAACAGAGCGCGAACGTTACGTAAACACAACCATCTCATTTGTACGTCAACTTAATTGCATAGGACACATGAAAATACATACGAAAATAATGGCAATAGTTTACCCGTGCAAAGCCAGACTTTTTTTAGGCGGGTCCTTGCACCATTGCGATGTTTTTTTTGCCCACTTACATTCATGAGTGTTTGGCTCCCCACGGGAGGAAACGGAAGTACCCGGAGAACACCCCACCCCCTGCATTGCGATGTTGCGGCACTATCTCGGCAAAGCCATCTCCTGGCTAGCCTCGTGAGCCCCCACAACCTACCACACCTTGGTAAGCCCTGGCGGCGGTCACCCATAGAAGAGACACTCGGGCACAACATTTGCCTTACGTCCGAGATTCGACAAAATTGGGTGCGCGCTCGTGGCGATTTTTTTATCTCGTCAAAACGGATTCTATTGACCGAGGTTCTGTTGAATGTGAAAACTGCCAAGATGTGAACATTGCGAGCACAGCGAACGAAAAGGTTCTCGCTCGCTAAAGCAGAACTGGCCAAAGATTGTGATGTGGAAGGCAGGACCCTCCGGAAAACATGTGTAGAGACTCCAGGTGAGGGTTAACATTTACTCGTATTGTTACACACACACACAGACACACGCCACTCGTATACCAGTGCACGGCACACAATCGCTCGTTCCCCAAATGACACATTCGAATGTGAACACTGCGTATCTATGTAAATAATACTTACGCCACTGGCCGTGTAAGGCACTTCTTGGTCGTAAAATCCGTCCATCACAGCTGTCGGTTCTGCCGGCAAGAAAACAATAAAATCTCACACATCCTCAATCACAGGTCCGTCCTCGTGTCACGTACGTACTATGCAGTTGTCACGGCGGCGCTTATAATCTATGGGATAGCGCCTTCTTTGGTCCTGTATCTGTACGTGCGTGCGCCTCGGTTTTTATGAATGGAATCAGGCGGCGCGGGCTGAGCTCCATTCACAAACCCCCCCCCACATCCCACCATCAACTACAGCAGCTTCAGCAACTGCAGGAGGACCCTCCCCCCACCCACCCTCTCCAATACTGCCCGTGGGTGTGGGGGAGGGGAAAGCAGAGTTCGCCTCGACACACTGCTCGGACAACCCTGACTTGTGCTATAACTATGGCTTAGGGTTCTGGCTATACAGTCCTCCCAGCACTGGACTAGCACCAACAACAAGAATCAGAATCTTTATTTAGACTGGAAGAATCCGATGAGCTATGAAGATCCTTTTTTTTTACACATATCCAGTATGGGCGGGTCACCAAGTGATAACTTACCAGCCTCATCAGGCCACACTACGAGAGCCATAAGCCCCGGTGGTATTTGGTCTTAAACGCCCTCGAGTAGTATAAAGTCCTAAAGCAAACCCAGCCGGACACTCGCCCTTCGTCCTAAACCATGAAGCTCACAACACTACCCCCTAGTCTCAAGTCGTCTCATCACAACTTCATGTCCGAAAAGTCGCAAGTACAAGTAATTCACACGAACAATTATTGGAGAACTATAAACCCAGCCTAGACACCACCTCTTAAAATATCCCTCCATCATGCCTCCCAGATCCACCAGTCCTTAGGCCAGTCTTCTCTCAGTTGTAAGTCCTATGGCTTTTGGGTCTGTAGATTGGTGCTGCTTGATGTCAAATTAAGAGAAAATGCCACCGATCGTTTCATGCCACCGGGCCAACGAACCCGACCTCCTCACTCTCATACTTCTCTATATTTGTATATTCTTAAAACTCGGCCTATACCACAACTGACGTCCTAAACCTCGCCTACGCCTCACGACTAGTCCTAACCCCAGCCTACCTTCACGAATGTAGTCCAATACATCTAAACTCAGCGCACACCACTCGCGTAGACCAAAGCCGAGCATGTAGCGCCAACCCTTGCAGTGTTCTCTGGTCGGCGAGCCCAGTCACCACGCAGGGGTTATCATCCATCCACCGCGCATCCACCAGGAGCCCCCCCCCCCCCAAACAAAAAAAACCTCAACACAACATCCCGTTCCTCACTCACTCACGACTCGCATCCTTTCTCCGTCACTCCCCTCCACCACCCGACTCAAGGAGCGAACTCATCCCCCGAAGCATTCGCCGGTAGGATAATGGCGATTGTGAGAGTTGCGTCCCTTGCGGGCCCCTGTGACACCCAGAGGACGCCGTCTCACCCGGGATGGCAATTTCATCCCTCCGTGTGTCCATTGAGCTCCGCTTGGCCCGTCCCGTCACGGTGTCGTCCACCTGTTATCCGTGCGTTTGTGTGTGTCCCACCCCCATCTGTGTTCCCCGAGTGTCTATCCACGTCCGCCTGTCCGTTCCGTGTGTCCATGTGACCGACCGTTCGCATGCGTCTGATGCGTCCTCCACACGCACGGCGTGTCCTTCCATTCGTGCCGTCCGTGTATCCATGCGTCTGTTCCAATTGTCCTTGTATCCGCACGGCGTAAACGCAAATGTCTGTGTGTGTGTGCGCGCGTGCGTTCGTCCACGTGTTTATCCATGCCGTCCGTCCGTCCTGCCCCGTCCGTGCGACTATCCGCGTCGATCTATAATATAATCCACGTGTCGGTGTGTCCATGTGTGGGACCGTCCCATCGCCGGAGCGTGGTGGGACATGGGACAGGCAAGGCATAAAGACAAATCCCTCGCTCGCTCACCTCTCGTTCGCGTCTTTGTCTCAAATCACACGGAGCCACCCAGCGCCGTGTCCGCTCGCGATCACGTGGGCCCAGAGCATCTGCTTCAATTGTAGTAGCACCATCAACAAACACCGCTGTCTTCTCCACACTTCTTGTTCTGCTGTCACTGCGTCGGTAGTTAATTATTTTCCGTCGGTATCATCGAGGTCCAATGCTGTTTAACAGCAGCAGCAACAGCAGCTGCAGCAGTCCGCTGTGCCGGCAAACGCTGTCGCGTCTAATTTAGACGGTGCGTGTGTGCGCCCGTGAACGAATAAAAAAAGGGCTGAGTGACTGCGTTGGTGTCGGATCAGGGACAGCAACAGCAGCAGCTACAGCAGCAGCAGCGACAGCAATGTCCGAGTGTTTGTGTGCCTCCCACCTCCCCGCGGCTCCCTCCCGGCACCCCACCACCGCCTCATTGGGCCCGGGGTTTCACGAGCGGGGAGGAAGGGAGCGAGTCGAGGGGAGGAGAGGGAGGAGAAGAGAGTGAGGGGGGCGGTGGTGGAAGTGAGAGAAGGGGGGGGGTAGAGTGGGGGATGATCGAGGGGAGATGGGGGGGGTCTAGAGGCGGAGAGGAGTGGAGGGCGTGCAGAGATGGGAAGGGAGACAGGGGCAGGTTGATTGGAGTGAGCGATAGAGGAGGGGAGGGTGAGAGTGGAGGAAGAGAGTCCGAGAGGAGGGCGTGCGAGACGCGAGCGGGTGGGGGTGGTGGGGCGTGAGAGGGGGGGGCGAAGGGGAGAGGAAGAGGCGGAGCGTCACTTCGCCGCAGCCGCTGCGGGTGATTGACGGCGCGAGGGGTTCATTCATAAAAAAAACAAATAGGGGGGAGGGGGATAAGGGGATAGGGGGGAGGGGGATAGGGGGGAGGGGGATAGGGGGGAGGGTGCGCATCACGCTGGCCGAGTTAATCGCCCGGCCGCGAATCGCCACCGTTCACCAAAGCCATTGTGTTGCGTGTGTCTGTGTGCTTTGTTTGGTAGCGCCTCAAGCGGCGGCTGAAGGCAACACACATGGCCGGTCGGGCTGAACGATGAATGGATTTCAAATGGAAATCGCAATTTGAAACAATGCGATTAGCAAATCGCAATCCTGCGATTTGAAAAGTCCTATTACTTTCTTATTGGAATTGTTTTATGGTTTATTATAACTTTATTTATTTAACTTAACAATTGTTCTTCTTGGTTCTTTCGGTAAAGTCACGTAGAATTGAAATAATAAAATAAAAAAAATAAAACATAATAAAATAATTCTCACGACGTTTCGGCCACAACGCAAGCAGCCGTCCTCAGGTGAAGAACAGGTCTGTCAGAAAGACAGCGTCTGAGGACGGCTGCTTGCTTTGTGGCCGAAACGTCGTGAGAATTATTTTATTATGTTTTATTTTTATTATTTTATTATTTCCATTCTACGTGACTTTACCGAAAGAACCAAGAATATGAATCCCTGTAGTCACGAAAGCTTTAAATCGAAATTTAACAATTGCTCTATGTGTGAGTGTTCTATTTAAATTGACACATTTTAATAAAGCCATGTTGTAAGCAATTAATGTCTTTTAAGTTTTCATCCTTGCATTAGAATATATATAACAGTTCATATTTTGATGGTATCATGTGGTAATGCTCCATCACATTCTAGATTTGAAGCTTTCGTGACTGCAAGGATTCATACTCTTAGGTTTTTTCGGCAAAGTCACGTAGGTAAAAATAAATAATAAAATATTATAAATAATAATAGAAATAAAATTATGAATCACGACGTTTCGGAGGCAACACAAGTCTCCGTCATCAGGTGGGACCGTCACAGCTAAATTTACTGTATCAAGTGAGCTCCATCACATGTTTTAAATCTATTACACAGTGAATATTGAACTGAAGCTTGACTTTTTTTTATCGTAAATCAAATCGCAATATCTGTTTAACAAAAAAAAAAAACGCGAAGTTAGATCTTTCCTCCAAATGGTTCAGCCCTCCACACGGGATGCTCGCGCGCGTTGCCGACAGCGCAAATGGAAGTAAAACTGTTCTGACACATCGCGCTCTGCCATTGCCCGTTTCGTGATGTTTAACACTTCCATTCTAATGCGACGTAATCGATGTTGTCGCTCCACGCGTGTTCGCCGCTACGCTGTTAATCTTTTAGAGCAGTGGTTCTTATCACATTTACTGCAGCCTTGCACGCCTTTAGTTCTCAATTGTAATACAAAAAACAATGTTTATATGTACATCGGTTTAATGAAACAAAGTAGTTGTGTACTTAACAGTGCACCCCAGGTGAAGGAACCTCGCGTTTCAAGTGTGGGTGACGCGCATCACTGGCGGAGTATATACACTGCCTGGAACTCTAGAACGGATAAGAGAACTAGAATGAGACCTTTAAACAATGTAATCATTAGCCTCGCTGTGGGAAATATAAATCACAAAGAACACGTGATATATCAGGAGTCAAAGCAATGTGTCTTCTACGTATAATACTATCCACGTAAAAAGGTATTTCTTCCACGACAATAATAAAGTAGACGGAAAGACGAATATGCTATTCATATACCGTTGGTTATAATCTATGTATTATGTTGAACTTATTTCGCACCGTATGTAGCCATTCGTGCTAATGGGATATCCATTTACTAAAGTAAACGATTTACTCTATCGATTACTCAATGAATCGGACAACATGTGTCACCTCTGTTCCCACGTGCGCCGCTGGACGGGAGGTGAGGGGTATGGCTTGATGACGTCATCGGCATCAGGCGCTTGTGGAGGCGGCTGTCACTGTTAAAGGGGCCCCGAGTAATTGACCACAAAATGATCGATTATAATTGTTATCGATGAATCGTCCACCCGTTTATGTTCTGCCATAGCGTTCACGTGACCCGTCCAGCGACGAGAGGCGTTCACCCACGATGCCGGCCTTGAATTAAATAGCCCTTCGAAGCCCTTATTCAATTACAATCGAATCGGTAAACTGCAGGTCAATACTCGAGTCCACAGACTGACAATGCATAGGTGCCGGCCTTTCACAAGACACATTACCAGAATGGACCTTTGACCACTGGCTACCACGAACGCTGGCAATACCCCTAAGCAGGGTATATCGTATCACGGCTTCACGGGTCGGTGGTATGCAGGTGACTAATAGCCACAACCATGTCGAGAGAGAGGTATTCTCGATGTGTCATGTCACGTTTCATTATCATGATTCCAAATGTTACGTTTCATTTCTCGGGTTCGGATATTCATAACCCATTGTATTTGGTACGGCTCTTTGCACTGCCCCATTACCCCAGAACCGAACCAGACCAGCCACACATTGGAGCCAGTTTGGCCACTTCGATCAATTTGAAGAGTCGCGGTCTTGCATCACTGTACGGCACATAATGAGCGAATCGCGCGGAATGCGCCAGATCATGACACGCATTTCGGAAGCTAAGCAGAGTTGAACGTGGACAGTGCTTGGATGGGTGACCAATCAGAGACCACCACATCGCACAAACAGGTTGTCATAGGATTGCTTATATAGCTAGGGTTGGAATGTATGCTCTTCGTAGCCTGGGTTCGGTTACCAGCCACTGGTGACACGTGCATTAAGTGGTATCCGAACTTTTCCTGGACATCGCTTAGGTCGAGACCTTCGATTAGCACGGCTGACTCCATACAGTGCGAAAGAAGTTTAACATACATACAGGTTACATTCAGGTGTAAAGATGTTCAAACACCAAATACAACCTTTTTCAAGAAATCAAGTTCGCATTAACCACACGTACTTGTGGTGAAAATGCAAAACACATGCTCTGATAATATATGCATTGTCTTTGAAACTGATAGGGCCTGGTCTCATCAGTGTCAGACCAGGGAACGCCAAAAGGCGAACAGTCCAAAGACAATGCACTATCGGACCGCTTATAGCTCGTGGTGAACAGCTAAAAAATGGGAACCTTTTTTGCCGGTATCAAAGTATGAAAAAATAAGGATAGGTTCTACCCTTTCTGGCAATAATAAAAGGTTCCATTTCATACAGATGACACGCCGGTGTGTGGTGTGTGAGACAAACGCGACCCGGTGTGCTGCTGGCCACATCATTTGTGTACCATTCCGGCCTTAATAGCTACTTATTAACAACACTTGTTCCGAGAATGAGTGCGGCCTGACGGTTTACCGATGATAACGTCGTCTGTTGGGGGTAATCACTGTTATCGAACAGCGATTAAGGCCGTTCACAGTACATGGTGGGGTGATTCCATCAGCACCAATATTCTACGTACCGGTTTGGATATTACATGCCACTAATGTTAGCCGCGGCCGGGAATCAACTTATATTTTCGTCAGTTTAACACGTAGGCTTTCGCGACCAATATCATCCATAATATAGATGCTTTGGGTTAGATCACGTAAATATAAATGTGTCGTGAAACCCGCCACCACCTGACACACCCAATTAGTAAGGTTTGTCACGTAAACAGAACATTCGTTACTAGTACAGCACACCGGTGTGTTGGAGAACAAATCCACAACATTTACAAACTGAGTACGACGTTTTGCCAGTAATTACAACTAGCATCATCAGGCGGACAGCCAGATTTGCGGGAACAAAATATACTATGGATTATATGTTCGCGTTCATAGCGCAGCGCGTGAACCTCTGCGTCACCGCTGCCCACCACACACAGGCTCTGTGTCAATGTACCACCTCGACGATGATGATAATCATGAGAGCATGAATTTTGTGGTTGCTGCACTTTTAAGCAACCCAAGACCAAGGATTTCTTGTTACGCTTCCGATTTGTGCAATCGCTTGCACGCAGATGGGACATCGATTTCCGATAAATAGCAAGGGCATATTGCAGAGCAGTTCTAGGACGCGCTTTTATCTCCAGAAAGTGCACGCACGGGCGTCTTACAGGAAGCGATGGGGGATTCCTTGTGCAAGTGGTTACCCAACGACACTCGTGCCCACACCGACGTGACGTTTTTCGAAGCTCGCTCTGCGTGGCCCACATTCTGCGGTCTGACGCAAGACATTGCAATAGGCAAATTAGATGCCAGGGTACACACGACGTAGCGGATCTCTGTGTGAGCTAGAATCCTGGGCCACAAAAGACAGGTTTCTAAAACGCTATGGCATTGGCATGGCAAAAATCTTCTGTCACGGTTTTTATTGACCTACTTTAAAAATGCCATTAGTTGTATACATACTCTTTGGTTCTTTCGGTAAAGTCACGTAGGTAGAAACATCAAATAAATAGTAATATATCACAGCTCTCTCGCTGGTCCAGCAGTTCCACTGCTGGATTTTTTTTTCTGATATATATTTTTATATTATTCTTCTACCCACGTGACTTCATCGAAAGAACCAAAGAGTATAGATTCCTGCATTCACGAAAGCTTCAAATCAAGTTGTATACAATTAGCTCATCATCATTGCCCTACGTCACTGGTTACTTAAGATTTGCATTGAGCACCGATTTGACTCAATGAACATTACTCACGTTCTGACTCACAGATGCACAAATATATTTTCACATAAT